CGGGAAATGAGCGAACACATACCGCCGCTCGCTCACTTTTCCATATATGCCTGCAGAGAGCCGTGACTGTCACTCACGGCTCCCTGCAGGGATTCCCCCGCTCCGATCCTCCAGCACTGACTGGCGGAACAGACGGGGAGGGGGCGGGTACAGCTGGCTCTGCCTCTATATAGGCAGAGCCAGCTGTCAATCACGCAGCTGGGTGGATCTTGATAGTAATGTCAGGATCCGTCCCGGCTGCGGCGGTCTCAGCTACAGCTCGCGTTATTCTGAGCTTTGGGTGACGGGAGGACGCTAGTTTATGTCCTCCGGTGACCCTTAGGAGAACTATGGGGGAAAACACCCCTAGGAGAACTATGGGGGAAAACACCCCATAGTTCTCCTTTTAAGGCTGGTAAGCTGCAATATATTACATTTTTGTTTTTGGGTTTAGACATGCTTTATAATGTACCTGTGCTTAAATTAAAATCTGTACTTGTACTGTACTGATATTGACAGCTTATATTGTCAGCCACTTTCTAAGCATGTTAGCTTTTAACTTTTGATTTATCCATAGATTTGATAATCATCCATGGTCTATAAAGCTTGCAAAACCTGCTGCTGGACTATGTGCATTGAAATTGCTGCTTTTAGTTATAGCATGTGTCTGCTGTTTTCATCAAGATGCTATGTAACTTCTAAAGAACAATACTGTTGTAAGCACGCGTGGGCAGGAACTGGACTTCCATCCTGTCAGCCAGCTCTTATGCCGCAGTTTATCCACACTTGTGGTTGGGGTATGTCAATGCCATTCAATGAGCTAAATAGAGTATTGCCGTTCAGGTACACTTCAATAAGCCTTTGACATTGCCTTTTATTGAATTTAAACTACTTAGTACAGTGGGATGGTGCTTGAGCAAAAGGTTCCTGCTGGTCATTTTAGCTCATAGATATCCTCTTCCAAGCTCCTTGTGGGTTCCCTGCAGCTGTCCAGACAGTCAGAGTCTGGGCTGGGCCGGGCCAGGCCAGTCCAAGACAATTCCGTTATTTATGGCAACCAGTTGTATAATAGCTTACATTAGTCTGAAGTAAGATGTTAAAAGCTAATATCTATTCTATGGCTACACCAATAGCTACGTTGCGAATGTCCTGAATCTACTTACTTGGCAATAAGGTCCCAGGTACATTCATCTCATGGAGTGATTCAAGATGTACAAGATATAGGCACCATTCACTTTAGTTAGGGTTTTTCAAGTTCTATTGACCTGGTGCAGCATTTCTCAACCCTTTAAAAGTATGCAAAATCTTGAAGCACACCAGTCTAAAATGTAAAAAAATGTAAATGTAAAACCATAAAAAACGATGTGTGGATCCTTCAAAATCCATACCAGATATGGGTCTGTTATGGGTTTTAAGGAAGGGACCCCAGGCAAAAAACAGTTGGATTTGCCTTTCACATCAGAGCCCCAGTCCCCCCCCCCTTCACATCAGAGTCCTACCATCACATTAGGAGCTGCAGCCAAGGCAGCATGGCAGAAGTGGGAGGCAGAGTAGAATGGATCCCATATTACGATTGTAATTCGAATTACAATAAAGTTGTGTTCAGCTGTTCCAATTAATCTCTAAGTTCTGCTTTGCTATCCTTTTTCACTACCTGTCTGCTTTATTTACACAGGGACATTAGACATGGTTCCCAATAGTTGTTTTAGCAGATTTGTTTTAAACAGAAATGTATTTTAAGGTAAACGCTTGCATTTTGTGTTCATGTGGTCAAATTCAGCATAATTTCTGATTGCTGCCACTTACTTTAATAGCCTCTCTAGTACAGCAAATATGCTTTGATTGAGCTGACCCTTCAATGAGTACCTGAAATAAACACAGGAGACCTTGACACCGTGGTGCTATTAATCTTGCTGAGACATTGAAAATAAAAGGAAAGCTCAGAGCACTGGATCTCTAGCTGTTGTTACAGAGCATTAGTCTCAGAGAGCCTCAGAAATAACAATACAGCTCGCTCAACTGGTGTTGTATTTTGCTTGGATTTGCTAGGAAAAGGGGGTGTTGCTGGACCCTGGCACCCAGAACACATGGAGTGCCTCAGGTGTCCTTTTTTTATAATTGTTCTTATTCCAAGTAAATGTATTTCAATGCTGAGTTTTGGTTTTGTTGTTTTTTGTATAAATATTCTTCATATCCATTCTCACATCATATGATAGCATTTTTTTCTTTCCAGTTCTTAAGAAATATGTTGTGTAGATCATTTAACGAATTAAAGAAGCCAGTTATATTTAAATGCTTTACTAGGTTTTATTGTTTCATTGTTTACTGCACTTTTCAATGCATATTTTTATTTGCCGAGTATATTAATTCCTATTTAGTGAGATTATACATTCTATGCACCATAAATCTTTTGGTTTATCCGTTCGTTTTTTTTTTCTCTCTGTAATAATTATACAATAATTTATTTATATATGCAAAAATTACATTTATGACTGTTTTTAACTCTCACTTTTTTTAATACCAGTGACATTCGTTCTACAAGTATCATTTTTTATTTTTATATGGCTTAGTTAGGGATATGCATTATAAGGTATCAGACAAGCAGTGTTATTGCAACTTACTTTTAAATGCCCTGCCTCTATGGCCTAGGACCATCTGTTATATAATGCAACAGTCCACACATCAGTTCAAGCTAGGTGCGCAGGGGTTCCCTGGGTTTTTAGGCACCCTGGCAATGTGCCTGTGACCGAGATTTAGGTAACTCAGTCATTAGTTATTTAAATAGTATACCTCTTCTGTAAATGGAACCGATATATGAAAGTTGTGCACTTGGCCATAGCAACTTATCAGGTTTTATCTGCTTCAAGGAAAATATGATTGGTTACCATGGGCAATAGTTTCACATTCACTATAGCTTTCTTAAATAAGAATTATGAGGCGAGTGATTTTCACTCAACCCCATAATCTGAGCCGACCTGTGACAATGAAACTCACAGGTCGACTCAGTAGATTGGGAAGTGAGCGAACACATACCGTTGCTCGCTCACTTCTCGATCTATCCATGCAGAGAGCTGTGACTGTCACTCACGTCTTCCTGCAGGGATTCCCCCCCGCTCCGATCCCCCAGAGCTGACTGGCGGAACGGACGGGGCGGTCACGGCTGGCTCTGCCTCTGGATAGGCAGAGCCAGCTGTCAATCCCGCAGCTGGGTGGATCTCAAAAGCAACTCTTCTTCCCTTCAACATCTACCGTAGCTTTGGGTCCTTGTGACCCTTTCTTGAGCAAGAATACAAAGAACCAGAAAACATGGAAACATTGTTGAGTACTGGACCTGATTTTCCAACGGATATTCGTATATGCCGGCATATCTATGTGTGTGGAAATCAAAATTGGATCTTACTATGTGACCGCAGTGCATGTGTATACATGCACACAGCCAGCAGTGTACAATAAAAATGGCGGTAGCAGAGCAGTGCATGGGGTTTTGCGGTCTGGTGCTTTGCTTGCCATTTCTGTGCTTAGGGAACCTTTCACATTAGTTGTTTCTTCTGCTTTTTTTGTTGTTTTTTTTTTAGGTAAAATGCTAACTCAAACATGCCTTACTGCACTTCATGAGAACTGAAAGTATCAAAGCAGCATTAGTTTGATGTTCAACTCACATGGCAAGCTGGAACTGCACTGTATGCATTGAATGTCAGTGTATAATCGGCTAGTTCAGTTCAGGGATTATGTTGGATGTGTGCCTGTACATCTGTGCCTACATCTATGCAAGTCTGCTGTAGTGATGTATATTTACTGTTGTTCAAGTTCACCCCGTTTACTGATGTTTCAGATAGTTGAGTTAAGTAGTGTATATTTCTTTATTATTATGAATGTTTGTTGCATTGCTGTCATAACTGAAGTTTCTGTTAAATAATTTCTCCATTTTGGTAGATACGGAAGAGATTCTTTATTTACCTATGCGTTCAGGTTGCTGACGCTCAGGAATTTCAAGGGGTTTTACTCTGCCTATTTGATTTTTATTTTAGAATATGGAGAATAGAACAGGAGAAGTAGAAATACCCAAGTGAGGGAAGAAAATGATTTACAATTTGCCCATTTGCCCTGGTGTCCAGAGGGGACAAGCTAAGTTTTACAGTGGTCACTGGAACAAAAGGTGAGGTGACATCTGTCAAAAGTGAAATCTCCCCTCACTTTGCTGAGATTGTCACACCTGACTTGAAAGTCAGAAGAAGCCTCCTAAGTTGAGACAAAGTCAGCATTAACTGGGTTATTCACAAAAGGATGAACAGTTTGGAGAAGTGAACAATCTAGGACAACATAGCTGATTTGGAAAAATTCTCCAATTCAGATCACTTTCCAGCTCAGCTATGTTGTCCTAGATTGTTCACTTCTCCTGCCTTCTCCAAACTCTTCACCCTTATGTAAATAACCCTGTAATTGCCTGTCAGAGATTTTAACCCTTCACAACTCTGTCCAAAAACATGAAAAAAGGTTTGGCTAATTTTCCGATTGCAGTAACAGCATAAGTCATTTTTTGTGGACCAAACCTAAAAAATGCACCATGTTTAACTTTATCATTCAGTTCATTTATGATTCAGTTGAGCAAAGAACAGGAAGAGCAAGGTGCAGTGTGTGCAGTTATGTATAGCATCCAAGGCCAGTGTGAGCTGGAACATACAGAACCTCAACAATCTTTCTTCCGCTACCCCACTGTGGAGAAACCTATCTCCTCTTCATTTTTTTATGCTACCGGATCCACAGTGCTGAGTGAAATACAGCGTTAAGAGGATAACTATAGCAACCAGTTAATGTTTCACTAACTGCAGTAAGCTGAAATATGATGGGTTGGTATAGGCTTCTGAACTAGCAAATGTTCTTGTATCTTTACATTACTTTTCTAAATAATCCAGACTGTGCTTATATCACTAACTGTGTTGAATGAAGAGTTGTATTTACTATCAATGGGCTGTTACTTGAGTCTAAAATGTCATATATTTTTTTAAATTCCCATTTAACAGAAAATGTAATCCGTGAAAATCAGTGGGGTGGTGTAGATATCCGGAGAGGCGGCGATCCAGTACTCAGAAGTAATCTTATATGCTGTGGATATTCTGATGGAGTGGTCGTTGGGGAACGAGGCAAAGGCCTCATCGAAGGAAATACCATTTATGGTAAACAGTTTCTATTTTTGCGTTTTAGTTATCCTGCTGCTGAGATGCAAAATAGTTCAATTTTGTGTGTGTTTAATGAACCTGTATTAGATGATACCATATGCCGAGCATCTGTAATGAGTTATTTTTTATTTATGTTGTTATTCTTTCCAACTGGATTTCTAGAGTTCAAATCGGCTTTGAATTTTCTGTAACTACAACCTCCACATCCACAATATTAAAACAAGAGTCGTGATGTCTGATAATTCCATTTAAATCCTTTTAAAAAAAAGATTCATGGTATTATGCAGAAATATACCAGCAGCATGAGGAAAGGCAAACACCGAGACATACTTGCTAGGCAAATAGGTTTTGTCTAGACAGTGATTGTATTATGTTGTGCTCGCTGTGAGCACTCTGAAGCATCATGTGGCATCAAATGGCGGTGACAATACATTTCATGCACGATCAGGCCAGAGCCCAGGTTACAGTTTCCTGTGCTGTGAGAATAAATGTTCAGTTTTACATGCTGAAGAGGGAACAGGCAAAAAAAGGTCTGCTCTATCACCTAATTTTCAAACCACATATTACCAGCATGCAAGTGTTTTAAACAGTATCATTTTCTGGCAGTGAGGTAATGTAGAAAGGCTGTTGAGAGGCTTTCAATGGATTCAGTAATTGCTACAGATACAGAGAGGGTGCTTGAACAAATGGCATCAGTTATGGTACTTTAAGAAAGCCATTTCAATGAATTTGAATGTGATCTGGTTCAAACTGCATCCGGTTACAAACATCTTATTCTGCATTTCTGTAACTGTAGAAACCACCATGAAAAATATATTTGCTTTGTTTTTCTTTAAAATCACTGTAACCTCATGTTTTATTCATATCTGACTAATGTAAACATAAAGGAGTGACAGTATAAAGCCGTTATTTACAAGATACGTTTGGAGGCTTCTCTCTTTAGTTTTCTCAGTTGAGATTTGAAAATGAGAGATAGAAGCTGATTGGTTGCAGTGCAAATTTGCTCCAGATTTTGTCTGCTCCAGTTTTGATAAATGCCCCCCACAGTGCTCTGGTTATATTTTGTCGTGCACAAAATGTTTATTTGCAAAACCAAGATTGTATGTATGTTATTAAAAGGACTATAGGGGTTTAAAATATCCTTTTTATTTAGGGAGTTATACACAGACTCCTATAAGAGTTCACTGCATAGAACAGAGACAGTATCTGAGTGTTCAGCCATGACTAGCTGCTTTCAGCATATGATTCTCAGCCCTGTCCAGCTGCCCACAACACATGATAATTCTTAGCCACAAATCTAGGATTGAATGTATAAAAAACATGCGCTTCTTAGATCGATCCTCCTTATGGCGTTCTCTGCAGTACTCACAAGTCTCCAACATACACATTGTTCACTCAGTAATGCAAACACCATGGTAGAGACATTAATTTATCATCAGTGTTTCATCCGCAGAATACAATGTTGACACAATACTAAACACATACTCCACACACCCTTGTTGCACCTCTTTCCCAAGTATCTGTACTATCCTCTGTTGCAGCTCTCCCCACACTGTTCAGATTTTCTTACTGCATTCTCTTGCAGCTCTCACCCCAACATTTTCTAAAGGCCTTCTGACAGATTTCCCCAGTAGCTTCTCTTGCACGTTTCTATCTACTGTCTGTACTGCATCCTGATATTGTCTGTAGCTGCTACATTGTACGTTCTCTCGATACTGCTCCGCATTAACATCTACTGCATTAAGCACTATACACTGTCTTAACGATTAATGAGCCTGGGCTTGGTGCAAACACAGTTCGCCCAGGTCTGCTCAAAACTGTGACCACCACACACTCCTCCTGGCCCAATCAATTGCATCAGGTGTATTCCCCGGCCCACAGATGGAGAGGAAGGGGTGGTGGTCGCAGTTTTAGCAGACTAAGCCCAGACTCATCAATAAATAGTCTTAACCCTGGTGCTTTGTTTGGTACCTATGAGCCCTGTGGCTGCTGCTTTGCCACTGCAAATTAGTGCAGATGCAAGCTATCACTGGGCATCGCGTCTTGTACCTAGACTTGGCTTCTTGATGCACCATCAGCATAGTCCATTGATCAGAGGCAGGAGTGAGTGGTATATAAAACTTCAGTTAGGAAAGAATGGAGAGTAGGGATGCACCGATACCGTTTTTTCAGTATCAAGTACGAGTACCAATATGTTTTTTAGCACTGGTAGATGCCGCATACCGGTACCGGAAGTTGCAAATTTTTATGTTGTATGATATTTGCAGGGGGGGGGGGGGGGGGGGGGGG